AGGTAACCCTGATTTCTCAACTGCTCGCCCAGAGAACATCTTGATTCAAAGACAGTGGAAGTTGCTCAGTCATGTACCACTCTTTGCAACCCCATGGACTATACAGTCCAGGGAATTCTCTAGGTCAGAATAATGGAGTGGGTAGCCTTTCCCTTCTCCAGGGGGTCTTCCCAACCCAGGAATTGAACCCAGGTCTCCCACATTGCAGGCGGATTCCTTACCAGCTGAGCCACAAAGGAAGCCCATCTTGATTCAAGGAGTATGAAAATACCTGAAGTTTTTCAGTTTTTTCAGCCATCTTCATAAATGAGCATCACCTCTTCCTATGTTTTCTGGAATTAGTGACACTAATATCATCCTCCTGATGCCTGGGGAATTTTTTTGGACTCTGTCCCTTACTGTCCATATTTCAGCTACCACTCTCTGACCCAGCCTCCCAATTCTACCTTCCCTGACCTGCCTGCATGGCCATTTTGATCACTGCCCACCTCCTGTTCAGAATATACAGTGGCTTCTGCTTGCTTTAGCAACTGTGCCCTCCGCCTGACCCCTCGCTGTCTCCAAAGGCTGAGCACCTTTTCTATTCCTGAGCTAATCTATTTATTATCTCCCTCTGTGCTTGGCTTATAAATAAATCCTGAGCCCAAGTCTTACCAATTGCTATTTCCCCCATCCTGGAAAATTTGCATTTCCTCCCCCCAACACACCGCATCCTTAAGCCACGCCCATTGTTCCTTTTGCATCTGACTAGGCCGGTTTGCACCCTCACCAGTAGGGGGCATATCTGCGATAGGGGCATGAGGTCGTGAGAGGCCCCCTCTCCATCCCCCTTGAAGGGTGAATAAGCACCCAGTGACTGGATGAAGGTACACGTGAATGAATATCGGAATGGCAGAGGCTGCTCCGGTGCTAAAGTGACATTGCTTTTCAGCATAGAAAAAGCTAGCAATATTTTTCCAGCACGCAATAAAGAAAATGCTGTATTGAAGCAAATGAATATTTCTTAAGATTTTGTAGAGTGCAATAGGAATTGCTCTCTAAATGATGTATGGAAATAGAAGAAGCTGAAAAGACAGTGGAGAGATGAATGTGACTAATATTTCCCAACAGACAAGGAGGGGATATAAATTTGTGATGGGAGATACCATACCACCGCCTTCACACACCCACACACGATGCGATCTTTGAGTAGGATTAGAAAAGCCTGATTCTGTAAGCCAAAAGAGGAGGCACGACTAACTGATTAATAGGTTAGTCCAAAAGACAGCTCCCAATGGCCCACCGGCCCTACCCCCAATTAAAGTAACTTCCAGAAATAACTCTTCTTCAGATTGAATTATCTATGCAAATGATTTTTTAAAAATTTTCTTTATTATTTGTTTATTTATCTGACTGCGTTGGGTCTTAGTTGTGGCATGTGGAATCTAGTTCCTTGACCAGGGATCAAGGGCCCCCTCATTGGGAACCTGGAGTCTTAGCCACCAGACCCCCAGGGAAGTCCCTCAAAAGATTCTTTATTAATAATCTACATCAGGGTTTGGCAGACTCTCCATGGGCCAAATCCAGCCCACCTCCCACCTCTGAATGGAACACAGCGCACCCCTTCATTTTTGTATTGTCCATGGCTGGTTCCCACCATAAGGACCTGCCTGAGTGGTTGTGACAGAGACCCTGTGATCCACAAACTAAAAAATGGCCTTTCAGGGGAAAAGTTTGCAGGTGCTTGACCTACGTGATCTAAGGATATAGTAATTTGATCAGAAGTGCCATTAACTTGCTTTCTCCAGTGGGAGTGTAATATGGTTGGATAGATTATTTTCTGATATAAGTGAGGGATTCACACCTCCCTTCCTTCTTACCAGGGGTAGACCTGGGACCTGGAATCTGGTTGGCTGGCTAAGGGAACAGTAACCTCCAGTTACCAAGGAGAGTAACCAACTTGTCCTGGTTTTCTGGAAATTGTCTTGGTTTTCAAACTAAGCCCCTTGTTCTGGGCAAACCAGGACAGTCAACCACCTTGACAAGTAGTGAACAGTGTACAGGGTCTGGGGCAGACTGACGGGGTCAAATCCCACTTCTGTGACTTTATGCTATGTAGCTTTGAGTAAGTTACTTAACCTCTCTGAACCTCAACTACCCTATCTGTGAACTGATTCTATTCTGAGGAGAGATTGTAAAGATTAAAGGACATTATACACAGAAAGAGTCCAGCATAGAACAGGCACTTATTAAATATTCATTCCCTTCCTACCCTTCAGATGATTATCAGCTAATATTTTTACCCAATCTTTTTTTTTTCCCAATCTTTAGCCAAAATTCATTTTTTCATAAAATTATCAGAAGGGAAATTTTAAAATACTGTTCTATGCCCTCTATTTTCTAATGATGTTGTTTCTTTGCCCCTTACATATAAATACCCAAATAAACAAATAATTTGTATGGCAGTGAGGAAAGTAGTCTGCCCATGCAAAATTGCCTGGTTTTCAATTTGATAACTGTTCTATATTTTAAACATAAACACTTGGAGACAAGTGGTGGTTGAATTCTGTTTTGTCCAACTACAGATACAGCCCAGGAAGGTCTGCTGTACCCAGCCAGTTAAAGTACCCTGTGATAGGAGATCCTGGTGGTCCAGTGGTTCAGACTCAGTGCTTTCACTGTGCGGCCTCGGTTCAATCCCTAGTCGGGGAACAAAGATCCCAAAAGTCACACGGCGCAGCCTCCCTCAAAAAAAAAAGGTAGCTTGTAATGCCTTGGATCCATGACCAGATAAAGAACTTCTGGTCAGGGGCTTTTTCTAACCTGGTATTGTGTGCCTCTAATGGAGAATGTTGATAGAAAGCAAGTTGATAGAGGCTGTGAGTGCCACCTCACTCATGGTTCCTCTGATGGATCACTGTGACCCGAGTGCTAAGTGGACCAACACGCTCATTAATTTTTTAAAGAGGTTAATAATACACAGATAGCGGTGTCAAATCTGATAGCAACCTACATGCCATCCAAAGTACCCCAGATGAGATCAAAGGGATGAGACAACATTAACCTCATTCCAACTCAGCATTTTAACATCTGGTGGGTTAGCAAATGTGCAGGATGGAATTCAATAATGTGTACTTCTGTAATAGTTTATACTCCCAATTACACTTAAAATCCTAGTTGGTCCCCAACAAATTCAATTTCTTTAACCTGTAGTTATAGGACTTTGAGAAATTCATTTTTTTTTTTTATTAAATGAATTGGACAAATCAATTCAAAACTATCAGCATTTTAATTTAATATCCAGATTCTTAGTAAATGTACAGAATGGAATTAAATAATTTGGACTTCTATGGTAATGTGTAACCTAAAAACTTCCAAATACATACACAATCCTAGCTGATTTCCAATAAATTCAATTTACTTGAGGCTGTGGACATGTGATTTTAATGAATCAAACTTTTAAACGGAATTAATTGGTCAAATCAGCCAAAACTTATAAATTCAGTGAAAATATGTCAGGGGATTGGCTGATTTGAATGGCTAATGCAGCAAAATAAGTCAGATTAGAAGCTCAGAATACAGACTGCTTTAATTTGATTTAAACTGTAGACATCTGTTTGCCTTTTTGATTGGGACAACACCAAAAAGCACTAGTTTCCAAACTTGGCTGATCTACATTAGAATCACCTGGGGAGCTTTCAAAACGTCCAAAGACCAGGCCACACCACAGACTGTTAAATCAGAATCCTTGTGGGTGAGACTCTCGAATCAGTCCCTTTGTAAGTTCTCCAGGTGACTGGAACCACTGGCATCAAGTTCAAATAATTAGGGGTGAAGCCACCATAATATGTTTTGGTGAAAACCCAAGTTGGGGGAGAAAACACTTTGTAGTAACATACAGTAATTATATTAATAACAAGCAAATTGTTTATTATACAATTTGTTATTGTTATGTAAAAATAGCTCACTATTTACTGAGTTCTCATCAAGTGCCAAACATTGTGCCGGATTTTACATGGATTATTTTATTGAATTCTCACACTTGACCGAGAAGCCTTATGAAGCTGATTATTTTACCCATTTTACAAATGGAGAAATTGAGGCACCAGAGGTTAAACACTTGCCGAAAGACACACATCTAGCCAGTTGTCAGGTGAGGGCTGGCACAAAGCAGTGTGAGTTCAAAGCCTGTACTTAAATGATTTTTGAAAACCGGTGACTTGAAACTCCGGGCTCTGTAGGTCTTTGAACTTCACATTCTTATTTCTTTGCAGGCATTGCTTTGGGATTTTGTTGTGTTTTTCACTTTTCTTTGTTTCTGGATGCAAAGGCCTTTCCAAACAGTGCACAAAAGCAATTTCTGATGCCCCTGGGGAGGGAGGTAGCCTGACTTTATGCATATAATAGGCAGAGGAGTTAATATTCCACCTTAGAGCTCCTCTCTGGGGAGTTTCTAGCAGACTTAAAGCTCTCTCAGGCCACAGAAAGGGAACCTGAAACAAAACCTCCACCTCAAGGAAACGGACGTATTTGCTAAAGCATGTTTAAATTTTAATCTAAAAAGAGTAACAATATAATGGGGCTTCCCATTCACCGCAAATCTGGTTATTTCACAAAATCTTCACTGTTGACCTGTCAACCTGGATAGGTTTGTTTCAAGTTTTTTGAGTTTTGTTTGTTTTGTTTTTGAGGCCTCCTAAATAACATCAAATAACATACACTCAGTACCAGCTGAAATCTTAACATTTAGCTGATAAACGTTGACAGTTTTCGGTTGCACAATGAAAAACAAAAAGAAGAAAGATGAAAATCTAATGTCACGGTCATTGGCAGCCGTTTCCTGTGACAATTATGGCGCTGTACACTCATTTCTTAATGGTGTCTTCTCTGTCCTTTGCACATAAAAGCTGAGAGAGGAGCTGAAACTACCCCCAGGAGTTCCCCCAGGACCAAGGCCAATCGTCAGAGCAGAATCTGGGCCAATCTCAGCAGCTGTGTTTTTTTTCTTCCGCCCACTTACCTCAGGAGAGCAGTTTGTCTCCTTCCAAGGACCCGCCCACCCCCAGCAACTTCTGGGTGGGGTTCGGGCTCTGCCAGCAGCCCCCAGGCTCACTGCCTGGGTGGGACCGGCCGGGCTCCTGCCACCCAAGACAGGGCAACTTGACCTTGACCTTGGAAGGGATCGGAAGTTCTTCTGGCAGCAGGCACCAGGGAGGGGCTGGGGGGAAGCGACCTGTCCCTTGGAAGGCAACTGTACCCAACTTCGAGAAGCGGGAGGACCCTGGGCTCCAACAACGCTCTGCGCCCCCAGTGTCACCTCCCGCTCTCCTTTGGGGGAGAAGAGCCTGGGGCTGGGGGCGACCAGGACCCATCCCTGTTTCAACCGCTTGTGGGCAGAGCAAGGGGTCCGTTTAAATTTCCTTTTAGGCGTCTTTCTTAAAAGACTGAACTTGTGGGGATCCCATGGAAGTCCAGTGGTTAATAGGACCCGGCGCTCTCACTCCGGCGGTGCGTTCGATCCTTGGTCGGGGAACTAAGATCTTGCAAGACTCACGGTCAAAAAAACAAAACAAACAAAAAAAGATATAAAAAGGAACTTGCCATGGTGCTGTCTAAATAAGACAGGTTTTCAAGTTTTAGGAGTGTGGTCAGAGGAGAATGTGAGTCTTGTCACTAGCAGGAAACTCAAGAGAAAAAATATTTTAAGGCGATGATGTCAAAAGACTGAACGACTCTCTGGGGTCAGGCCAGGCACCGAGACCCCCGAGAGGTGGAGTCAGCTCTGCGCAGAGAGGGGGCCCGTTCCCCCTCACCTCGGGCAGAACAGGGGATCCCTGGTGCTGGCCGTCGTCGAGGCGGGCAGCGATCCGGCTCCTCCATAGCCCCGGGGCGCACGGTGCAGGGGGCTCCGCGCCGGCAAGGCGGCCTCGGTGGGCTCTGGGCGCTCGGCGCGGCGGCTCCGAGCCCGCGAGGCGGCGGCTGGCGCGCTTCCCGGCGGCTCCCGGCTGCAGCTGCCGAGCTATTTGCAGCCTCCACATCCTGAGAGCCGAGACCAGGCCGCTCCCCGGGGCGACTGGGAAGTGGGAGGCCAGGCGGGGCCTTCCTGGATCAGGAGTGGGGGCCAGGCAGTTAGGAAATAGCGACCTGCAGGGTCCGCAGGGGCTTCTGCTGGGGCTGCCCGGGGGAGTCCTGAGCCTCAGCCGCCCCCACGCCTCGTCAGAGCCCCAGAATGAGGGTCAGCAGGTGGGTGACCAACCCAGCTGGAAAATGAGCGAACTTCCCGCTGCAACGCCCCAGAGAGGCCTTTCCAGACGGTCCCCCAACCCCGCCCCGGCCCCGTTCTCCCACTTCCATCACTCACCTTTATCAGCATATCCTGAGCAGCATCCGAAGTGCTCTTTCTTACGTTGTTTGTTTACTTGTTCATTGTTGGCCTCCTCCAGGAACGTGCAGGCTCCTAGAAAGTCCTGTGGAAGACGCCTGTCTGTTCTGCTTGCTGATCGCCGGTCTCCAGGGCCAAGGAGGGGTGCCTGGCTCCTTTGTAAGAGAATGAAGGGATCCGGAAAGAGAGGCGGCCTGCTGAACCATCAACGAGCCGGATTTCTCACCTTTCCGTTCCGAGGAGGTGTTGTCATCAACCTTTAGAGAGAAACTGGATTGATTTGGGGGGTAAGGAAGTTCATTCTCCCTGGCTTTATATATATTTTCCAACCCACTGCTAAATGTTAGTGGTCTTTAGTGTCTTTATGTGATGTATACCACTTGTCAGTATTTATTTAATGTAACCTATTCATTTAAAGAAGGTTAAATTATAGGGTAACTAGAGAGTGACAATAATATAATTTAAGCACTATCATTTAGAGGAAGATTTCCACCCTAAAATTTGGTTAAAATACATTTGAGACAGACACTGTTAAATTCATTGCACAAATTTTACTTTGTGACAGCTCCAACATAGTCTGCTGTATTTAATAAGAATTCCTGCCCATAAAAGAAGATTTAATGACATTAATGAAATTGCCTTTATGTGTTAATGGAACCGAAGAAGTCTTAACTCTAAAACCGAATGTTCTTTAAACCTAAATATTTGACACTCAAGAAAATCAGCTGAGAAAAAACTTGTCGAAAGTGATAGGTTCTATCTGATAACGGTATCCACATCTGGAGATACTGTGAAAATTACTTTATGCAGTGGACAAATTAGTGTCCATTCTTCTCAAGGTCTCAGAGTTCATAACTTATTTTTTATACTTATAGTGAAATGTCCCCATTTTTTTGCAAGCTTTATCCCAGATCCCTCTAGGCAACTGGGAGGTAGGGTAAGTCAACCTAAATTTCTAGAAATTGTATCCTATTTGGTATTAGAACCCACATGTTAGAATTTGTAGTTTGCCACAGGGGAGAAAATGAATTCACTGCCGAAGCACTTATTTAAGATTACACATGTATCCAGCAGTCAAAGGAGCATCCCCGCCCTCCTCAGCCTTAGTAGAAAACCATCACCCCATGTTTGAACGGAGTGACAATTGTTTAATCTGAGTTGCATTCTGACTGCCTCTCTTTTTAATGGAAAGTGAGAAATAGAAATCTTGTGCGAAAGAACTTGACTTGAAGGTCACGTGTCTAGACATAGGGAACTGGGAATCCAGCACCCCTGCCTGCAGATTTGGGGGGAGGCTGCCATAGTCCCACTGGGGATGTGCACTGACCCTAGAGGTGTTGGAGATCCTGATTAGCCCCCTCCAGGGGCCACAGGTACCCTGTTTCACTGGAGATTTGGGTCAGGAGAGGAAGGAACTAGCGGGATGGGCAGAATCCACCTGGGAGGAAAGGAGAAACTTGGGATGTCTCATCACAGATTTTACAGATCAGGGGTAAAGATCCCCAAGGGGTTCTTCAATACCTTGGACTCTTTCTCAAGGAAAGGACATTTGAGTGTCTGCTCTATTTTTATCATATGTTAGAAGTCATGCTAACTAATTAGGTAGTGGGCCACCTACACACAGTAAAATCATATGTTGAACGGTACAGTATCTTATACTATTAGCAGCCACATTTCAATGAATAAAATTTCTTTTAAAATTCTTTTATAAAAAAATTGAAAGACTTCTTTATACTGGGTGAAAACTTAGATTTCAAACCTAATTTTGATCAGCTTTATCATGAATATATTTTGTGAGTTTATTCCTTAAAAATCTTTCTCAGGCTCTCTCCTCTTCACTCTCTAAAGTGATACCAGATGGGTTTTATTTTGTTTTTAGCTAAAATTGGATCCTGGGAAAGAATCTAGTGTAGATGTAAGAAGATGACTGTCATCTGACAGTTTCCATTTCTTACCTAACTGACTCCCTCCCTGGATTTAAAAGAAACCAGAAACTTTATGGAGACCTGCATCCCCAAACCTTTGGGAGGAAGAATAACAGTTCTGTGTTTCCAAAAATTAGTAATAGCTATTCCTTCTAAGTGGATTGCAGTGCAATCACAAAAGCCTGCATATCTCTAGGAAAAAAGTTTCCAGATTTCCTTTCCCTGGAATGTGGCTCCAAAGAGGCTGTTTCATTGCAAAGAAGGTGCTTTGACTGGGTGCTCAGCAGGTCCATCAATAAGGCAATGTCAATGGTTGTAAGCAAAGTTCCCTAGAACTATGGAGAGTATAGGCCCTCCATACCCATTAACAAGAGGTCCTGTTTAAGTTTTCGGCCGGTTACCCTGCTACTGTGGAGGCTGCCACCCTTGGCCCAAGTGTTGTCTGCTAACTTGCCGCCAACAAGTGACTGGAACAGCATCAGACTCCCAAACACTATCCCAAGCTCCTGGGCAAGTCCACTTATTTATCGCATGCTTTCCTCTTGGTTTACAGCTCTACATAAAAAGAACTAAAGCACATATTAAACTCTGTCATCAGCATTTATTCATTTTGTGGGTTATCCTTTCATCCTATTTGATGGTGGAGGCATGAAAGCTAATAAAGATATATTTTGAGGTTAACTTCTATTTGTTCTAGCGGTTTCTAAATAATTTTCCCATTTAGAAAATATATTTATAGTAAAACAAAAGAGAAATGTTTTTAATGATGTTTTAAAATTTGTTTTTATTATTGTTGTTTTTGGCTGCATCACGAGGCATGTGGGATCTTGGTTCCCCGATCAAGAACTGATCAAGAACTGTGTCCCCTGCATGGGGAGCACAGAGTCCCAACCACTGGACCATTAAGGAAGTCCCATTTTTATGATTTTTTTAAAGTGAGGTTTTAAATATTATTAATAACATCCTACTAAGACTCCTTGGTTTTAAAGGTGAGAAAAAATTTTATTGGGCCTTAAAATGAAGACATAGCAAAAAAACAATAATAATAAAACTATACCTGTTGTTTTTTCCAATCAGCTTGATTCTTAACTGTTATTCTTTAAAAATTCTCAAGACCTTAACATTAAAAAAAAACCCTTCAAATATTAGATTTATAATAACCTATCTCTTATCTAATTTTTAAAAATAAAATCAATATTCTAATGGTTCATTATAATTATCTGTAGAAGCTCAGTATATATAAATTCATGATATAAAGTTTTGCAATGTTGATCTCTGAAGTTTTGGTCCTTAAAAGAAGTGAAAAATTTATATTACTTTTCAGGTTTGATCCATATAGTGTAAAATCCAATACTTATCAATGTATGAAATAAATTTCTATGGGACTGACTAGAAGATAATTTTTTTTTATAATTAATCCAATTTTATGTTGACCTGTTGACCACTCTTTGATAAGACGTGTACTCCCTAGAAGAATTGTTGACCTGTGTCTCGGTGTTAAATCACATGTGAAAACACAGTTAACTGTATTTAAAGAAAATAATTCTGATACAAGTGACTAGTAAGTTTTGGAAATCATGTAGATTTTTATGAAGAATACAATTAGATCCAATGAAATGAAAAGCAAGAAGCTCTACTGGTTTTACAAAAATTTCAAAGTTTTTTCACCCATTCCAATTGATCCACACGTTCTCTTTTTTCAGTCCTGCAATTACTTGAATATAAAAGCACTTTCTGTTAATCTTCAACCTGAAAAGTAGTAAAATAACAGAAGCATAAAGGGGAATGGACATTTCAACCCAACGGCTCTCCAGGTTTTTCAGGGTTTTAATCTGCTTGCTTTTGAAGGCTTACCCCTTTCACAATTTCCCCCACTGCTTTATAGAATCTTAGAAATCATGAACCTACATATCTCTTATATGTAAAATTGTCTCAATAGCCTTTTAAAAAGTTATTACATTTAGGTGCAAACTTGCTCAAGGCAGCTTGGTAAAACCAAATTAATTGTTTCACTTCATTCAAAAACTGACTTCAAATTCATCCATTTAACTTTGAGGAATATGTATAACCTAACAAAATAATCATGGACACAAAAGTATGGGTATAAGAAAAGATGAGTCATCTTAGCCTTATTCAAAATACTTAAAAAATCAATAAACAAGGTCCTTCCTACAGAAGGGAAGCACAGGGAACTTTATTCAATATCTCATGATAAACCATAATGGAAAAGAATGTGAAAAAGCATCTATATGTATGTATGCATCACTTTGCTGCACAGCAGAAATTAATACAACATTGTAAATCAACTATAATTCAATAAAACTAAAAAATCAGAAACCACACAAATGTGTAATAAAATGGGATTTCTAGATAATTTATGGTATTTTTAAAAATTAATTTATTTGGCTGTGCCAGGCCTTAGTTGTGGCACATGAAATCTTCAACCTTTAGTTGTAGTATATAGGATCTATTTCCCTGATCAGGGATTGAAGCTGGGCCCCCTGCATTGGGAGCTCAGAGTCTTGGCCACCGGACCCCATCAGGGAAGTCCTCTAGCAACATCAATTTAAAATACATTTGGCACAGAATGTATGATAGTTTACTTTTACTCAGTGGAAAACCATGGAGGCAGTAGAAATGATGCAATGCAGAGCACAATAAGAATATATGATGACAAAGTTAGTTTAAGAAAGATTGTTTTCAGTAAAAGTCATTTTCAAATAGAATGTAA